AAAAAAGAACAGAAATTCAATTCCTATGCAAGAAAAAAACACAGTATATCCATTGAACATGATGAGTTAGATAGCTTGCCTTGATGCCTTTGGTTCCCTTGATGCTCTTTGCCCATCTGTTACCTTCAGGATCCTCCGCCTTCCTCTTAGCTGCTCCGCGAGACAAGTAGAACAGAAAGACACCAACAATAATTGACGTAAATGTTATCCCGCCAGCGGCTGATGCAGCAATTACTCCAACATGGGATTTCCCCGCGACAGCTGGACAGGGATTCAATGGCTTTCCACAGAGGTCCAGATTATTTGCAAAGCTATCAACAGGGATGTTACTATGGATAAATGTGGGGATCGGCCCTGATAGAAGATTGTTGGTAACCGTAAATACCTTGATCCGATCAAGCAGGCCAAATTCCAGCGGAATCTTGCCTGTTAGCCGGTTGTTGTCAAGTTTGAGATCATTCAAGAAACTACAACTTGAAAGATTTGTTGGAATTCCACCCGAAAAATTGTTGAATGAAAGATCAAGGTTTGTAATAAAGGGGATAAGCTTTGAGATATTATCAGGGATTGAGCCAGATAGCTTGTTGTGCGAAAGATCCAAGCCAGTCAAGCTTGTGCAATTCTGAATGCCAGGGGGGAACTGGCCCTCAAGACCACAGCTTGACAGGTCGATATTTAGAACTCTGTTCTCGTCAGGGTGCCAGCAATCAATGCCCATCAATCTACATACGAAGCCTTCAGTATCGTTGTTGAAATTCCATGTAGAGTTCAAGTAGTTATTAGGATCCACCAGAGAAGCTCTGATGGATTTCAAGCACGCTATATCAGTTTCAGTAGCATTACTCACAGATATTCTACTGCTCAGCAAAACCAAAACCATCCATATCAAAATATGGGCAACAACCATAGGATTTTTCTCGCTCAATGCCATTAGCAAGGGGAAAAAAATGCCCGTACTTTCTGTCCCTGGACCAAAACGGAATCTACAAAGTGAAGGGTTCTCGCTGAATTGTACTGCTAAATAAAACACTCAAACCCATCTCTATATATCCAAGAAAGAAGGTCCAACTACTCCCACCAAAAACACAATCCAATTTTACTAGTGATCCACCAGAACAATATGTAACTTGGAAAAAGCAAGAGAGAAGTCAACAAACAAACAACCTCGAATCTTAAACAATCCTAAAATCCCAATTCACCTATCCCGGAGATTCACTGAAAGAAAACAAGATTTGAGACATACCCAGATGAAGATGATGATGATGAAGTGGAAGTGTGGAGCATATAACTAGTCACCAAGCAAGAAGAATGCTGCAAGAAGAACGATGAAAAAAATGAAGAGAAAGAACACAGTTATTATTACACTGAAAACGTGGAGATGGGGTTGAGTTGATTTGATTTTAACGAGAGAAAGAGGTAGGAAACATCCCCTTTTTTATTTTTTCCCCTTCAAAGAAGACTTTAATGAACAAGTCTTCTTGCTTTCCAACGACCGAAGCACACAAAAGAGTCCAAAGTGAAAAAGGTGAATGGAGAAAAGTCTTTGGTTTGAAAATTCAGACCAGTGACGCGCAGAACTGTTCTAATCTGTGGAAAACTGAGGAGTCGGGTGGTGGTATTGAATTGACTGTTTGGCATGAAAACACACACACACACACACAACCCTACTCTCTCTGGTTGCTTGCACGATGGGCTTGGCTTGTCACGAGTCATGACCTCTCCTCTAATAAAGTCACATCAAAACAATTTCTTTGTGCTAATGGCAAGATGTGAACACTGAACTCCTTACGGGTCAGGCAACTTGTGTTGAATGAGTCTTTCCCCTTCAGTTAAGCCATTCATTCATATTCACTCATTAATCTCACCACAATTTCTGTCGCCGGGTTCACACTGAGCACAGGGATGAGTCTTGGGCCAGTCCATTTCTTATTCGCACCATTGACAACGTCATGCCATAATTTCCTGGCTACTTCTCCTTTTTAGATCACTAGTGTCATCTTGTTCTTTAACCACTAATAATAATAATAATAATAATAATAAAACTTAATTATAATGACTAAGTGATAAAAATTTAGAATTAAAAAATATGTTCTTTATATGATCTCAAGTTCGAGTACTTGGTTGTTTATATAATGATCATTAAAAATTTATATGATTGTTAATTTTAGGATCTATAAAATTAATCATAATGCATATAAATAAGTCCGAATACTTATATTAATCTAAAAATAAATAAAATGAAACTTGTGATGTTTTAACGAGGATTATTATTAAAGTAGTGAGAAATAGAATATAAAATGTAAAGGAATTACTCTCACTAGAAAAATTATCATATCTAACTTGTGTTTCCAGTCCCCCGGAAAAGAAGAAAGGATATTTGACAATACTTATATTAATCTAAAAATAAATAAAATAAAACTTGTGATGTTTTAACGAGGATTATTATTAAAGTAGTGAGAAATAGAATATAAAATGTAAAAGAATTACTCTCACTAGAAAAATTATTATATCTAACTTGTGTTTCCAGTCCCCCGAAAAAAAAGAAAGGATATTTGATTAATTTCCATCCCCCGATTACATAGGCTGGGTTATACCTTGTGTCATCTTTATAAACCAAACAAATAAGATTCTCTTTTTTCATAGAAATTATTTCAGTTTATTTCTATATTTTAGATCCATCTCAAATCTATCTTTACAAGTCTACTTATTTTTAGTTTATATTAATTAAGTTATTCTCCAATATATTCTTCTAATATATATTTTCATGCAAACACTTACTTAAAAACACTCTAACCCCACCTTATTTATTAAAGAAATGTCTTGTTATGTTAAAAATTGTTCTTTATGTGATTTTTTTTTAATAAACTAGGTTAGGTTTGAATTTCTTATATTTTCATCAATCTAGATAATGACATCTGACATTCAGATAGATCAAATAAGGAGTTAATATTTTCTTATATCCGTTCGCTCTTTTTTTCCCTTAAAATCTCTCTTTTGTTCTTTCTTGATACCATCATTATACATTTAGTCCCTGTATTAAAAGAAAAACTATGGTCCTGTATTTTATTTTTCCTAGAAAAAAAGTCTTTAATTTTATTTTATTTTTATCATCATCATATTTTACAATATTGTTTAGTTTTTATTTTTTTCCGGTTAAGTTCATGCATTGTAAAATTGATCAAGATTTATCAAATAATTTAAATGGATTGATGAATAAAGTAAGAGTTAGATAAATTTATATAGATGTGCTCGTTTAAAAAATAGATTTTATTTCATGTAATATCATATTTACTATAAGAATTTCCTTCCTTTTGCAAAAAAAGTATTTCCTGCTTTTAGTCCAAAGAAGCTCAGATGAAAAATAAAAGAAGAAAATAGTATAATAAATATATGATATTATAAGTACGAATTTGTCTCGTAACGGTACTTGAATTTCTTGATTTTTTTTTATTGGTTCAATTGGTCATGGATGTGATTACTTTTCATGACTGTGATTGATATTATCGTGATTTTGTTTACTTTTGTTTCCTATAACAATTTATATTCTATTTGAAGAATCTCGACATAGTTTATGATTTGATATTTAAGAGTTAAATTGAAAAAACAAAATTATTGGGGACTGGTTTGCAACTGTATTCACTGTAAAAAAACATGGACTAAAAACTTTAAGTTAAGTAATTTTTTTCATAAGAAAAATAAAATATAGGAACTGGAGATTTTCAAAAAAAAAAAAAAAAACAGAGATCAAGAATACATACTAAAAATTTCTTCTCTGGTGACTGGCGAAGCTGCTGATGAGAAGATTTTTAACCTATGATTTATGCGTCACCATCAACCAACATTATATGATATTTTTTTATAATAAAGGCAGTTATTTAATGATGAACATTTCATTGTCAAGGTTTCTTTTATAAAAAGTGATTTTTTTATAAATTATGTTTTAAATTTTTATATATATATTTATAATTAGAAAAGTTGATATATAAAAAATATTTTTTAGTTAAAAGTAATTTTCTTTTAAGAATGGTAAAAAAATTTAGAAATGTTATGTTATTTATTTATTTTATCAAATTTGATTTTCAGATTTTTTATTGTTATATATTTTATTTTAATATTTATTTTTAATTTTATCTTTTAAATTTTAATTTATTTTAACTTTTATATCAAGTTTGGTCTTTATTTTTATTTTTATGATTTTTATTTTCTTATCTCTTATTATTTTTTAAATTGAAACTTTTTATCTATTAGATTTGGTCCTCATTTTTTTTATTGTTTTTTATTTTATTTAAAATAATTTATAAAATTATATATTTTTTAATTTTATTCTTATTTAAAATCTTAATTTGTAATATTTATTTTTTATTATTTTAATAAATTTAAAAAACATTTATTGATAAGTTATTTTTTAATTTAATTTTTATTATATAGCCAAACATTAAAAAATATTTTTTAATTTATTTTTTATAATACTAAAAAAATCAAAAAAATAATTTATTTTTAAAAAATTTATTTTCCAAAAAAATTACTTTCTAAAAAATTTACTTTTCAAGCAAATATAAACATGGTTATAAATAACATTTTTTTCGACAAGAATACTTGTTAATTATAATCTGGTCCTCTACGTTCTAAGACTGAGGATTTGGCCCTCTGTCATTTCTTCGCGGCAATCATGGCGTTGACTGCCCTTTTCAGTAGTCGGTTGCGTGTCCGATCTTGGGATGATCAAACTACAAACAGAACTTGCTCTGCAAAGCAATGCATTTTCCCTTCTCTTTCCTTTCACTCTGGATTTCTCACAGCCGCCAATCTGTCTCTTTATTTTTTCTTCGAGACGATGAAATATCAAGCGCGTGTTTCGTAATATAAAATTATTTTCTTTTTCATTTTTTATTCCTTGAATCAGGTTTTATTATTATTATTATTATTATTATTATTATGTTCAATTGACTCAATAGCTAATTGTATGCTTTTGCCTCAATGGCGATAAAAAGTAATTCATTTCAACATAATTAACATGCATGGTTAACGTGACTCCGTAGAGTTTGTATGCTTTTGTATTCCAAAACTGTTTTTGAAAAAAAAATAATTTTTTTATTTTAAATAAAAAATTTAATTTTTTTAGATTATTTTAATATGTTGATATAAAAAATAAATTTTTAAAATAAAAAATATATTTTTAATATATTTTTCAATAAAAACACTTTCAAAGCAATTATTACTATAATACCAAACATATTTTTAGATGAATGTATCTAATACTATGATGTAGAATATTTTTTATTTACAAATATAATAAAATAATTCTTTTAAAATTCTTTTTATTTCTAACATTAAAAAATTAAAATTATTAAAAAATATTAATGTGATGTTTTAAAAAACATCTAAAAAAATAAACAATCTTGCTATCAATCATACTCTTATAAAAACCAGCTAGCTATTGAGTCAAAGCGAACATGTTCAAAGAACACAAGGATTAAAAAAACTACTTAAAAAAAAAGTTAATTAATCAAATTAAAAAAAAAGTTACATCAACATGCATGGTAAAATCAAGACCTAATGTAAGTTAGTTGCTGAGTTTATTAGAAATTCTTTTAAATCACTAGGATTAACTGAACAAATTTACAATACATAATAAAAAACATAAGAATAAAAATGAATAATTAACACAAATTCAACAATAAATTTATGAGTTTTGCCTAAACAATTGTTCTCGTATTCTTAAAACTTCTATTCATCATAAATGGCATCCCCATTTTTTATTGGTTACTAAGGGTTGGTTTGGAATTATATCCCTTGTAGTTTAAATTTTTTTTTGCTTAGAAATATATTAAAAAATATTTTTGAGATAAATATATCAAAACGAACTAAAAACATAACAAAATAATTTTTAACAAAAAAATAATTTTTAAATTTTGAGAAAATATGGTTTTA